TAGAGAGGACAGAGCTACCATGGAAAGGTCACTTAACACATTAGAATCAAAAAGTTCTGCAACAGCAAAGGGTTCTGCTGAAATGAGACTAAATTGCAACTGCTAATTATACATGCCCATCAACTATGTGATTACACTATGTGTCAGAAATAACTTTTATCTCAGTCCTTTTCTCGCCCAAAGTTTTAAATTTAGTTTTTTTCACAGCTTTATTATTCCTGGAAGAGAATCCCATATTTTATAATGGAATTTAATGGGAAACTTAGTTTGGCTAAGATGTACTCATTCTATAAGATAAGACAGATGTACCAATATGCCACAGCAAAGGTACCATTTCTGCCACTAAAAGAGAAACAAAACCAAGAGACCCTAAATTTACACACACACACACACACACACACACACACACACACACTCACATGTCTAGCTCAAACCTATATTGTTAATCAAATGTTTTTGTGTATTTACTTAACCGGGAACTTTCTAATACTTTAGGTCGGTGCCATCCGTTTGGGAAATTAAGACTAGTGTTTTCCCAACCTTTTTCCAGGCTCAGAAAACTAATCAGCAAGGCTGAGAGGTTACTAAATAACGTACTTTAGGTTTGAAAAACCATTTCATAAGATAACTCTTTTATTTATTGTGCTTTTTGTTACTTTTCTTTATTAAAACTGTAGAGCTCAACTGAAAATTACAATGATAGCAGTTATGTTTTAGTAAGAATACCTATTTTGCCATCAAAAATAATCCTGATGAAGGAAAAAAACACTTAGCTATGGGATTTGAACAAATGTATGTTAAAATAATTATACAGTATACCATTGGGAGTGATATAGCTGCAACTGTAGTTATAACATGCACATATACTCAAATAACCTAAATAATATGCATATTGTATTTATTACAAATTATTCCTAAATTACAGGATAATGATATTCCAGTCCTTGATTATTGAGGCTATATTTTCTACCTTTACATGTAGAAAAAATATTGTAAATATGTGCTAACTTTTGCTCTAATGAAAACAATATGAATTTTTAAATTGGGATATAAAAGTAAGCATCACTCTCCCTGAATAAAAATATGGAACAAATTATAGGCCAAATATTTTTTCTACACATGAAGCTGAGCTAATAATTCTGCTTTAAAACAAATTAAAACTAGTCTAGTGGTTACCAGAGGGTGGGGGAGGGGGAAGAGGGGAGGTAGATGGGGTAAAAGGAGTCAAATATGTGGTGACAGAAAGAAATCTAACTATGGGCGATAAACGTACAATGCAATGTGTGTGTGTGTGTGTGTGTGTGTATATATATATATATATATATATGCCTTACTGTTGAATTGTACACTTGAAACTTACTGGATTTCATTAACCTATGTCACCATAATAAAGTACGTACGTACATACATACATACACACACTCATACAAACACACATACATATATAGAAACATACATACAAATAAAAATATATTTGTTGTTATCCTAGCATAGTTCTTAAAAGAAAATATTATTGATGCTAGAATATTGATATGTAAAGTTAAGTTTGTCTGTTAAAGAGGTGTTTATCTACAAGGACTTTAAATCTCATAAATTATTCACAAGACTTTGGCTGAGGAGGTTCATCTTCTCCTTCAACTAAAGTTGCTATCACTCAACAAGAATGGCAAGGACACCACTCCCGTATTTAAGGTGCTTTCTATAGATGGAAGAAGACAAGATCTACATACCTGGAAAAATTGAAAAACGCCCTCCTGTGGTATATGTGAATACATAGGCAAAGTATCCTAAAATAAGAGGGAACATGGAAAAGGGGGAATTTGTAAAGAAAATCCAACAAGATGTAAATGTTGTTTTCAAATGGCATAGACTTTAGCTTTGTAGGAAATTAAGTGTACTTCATGGGATGTTTCCTCAGATGCCTAAACTTTTTTGCCTTTTTAAGATATTTAAATAATTTTAAAATGTGTTCCAATTTTAGGAAATGCAGCATAGCTTCTTGTAAGAAAGTCAACCTGATAATAAAGCAACTGGAGACAGAAAGGCCAGGCCCCTTTGACTCTACATGGGTCAGTGGGAGAGAAGGAACGACGGCTCTGTTCCAGGGCTGGGTCTTCAGAGTTGAAGGCAGAGGGTAGAAAAACCCCAGCGCTTGCATGGATTTTGTCAATTTGCCTTAGGAGAGAGTAAGTTGTTCTGATGTAGCATAAAGGCTCAGAGACACATGAAGCAGGGTATTCACAAAGCGGCACCCAAACCCAATTTAGGACCGTTGTCAAGAATGCCATGGCTGCAGGTAAGTGATGCTGGATGCTCCTCTTCATCAACAGGGGCAAGTCCTGGCCTTTTTAGGAGCCCTCTTCTTTTTTTTCTCTGATGGCCACTAGAGAGTTTTATGTAAGATTGGTGACTAAGGAAACCCTCTTGCCCTGCAGAGGTGACCAGGCTCTCAGCAGTTGAAAAAGAGAGAGCAGTGCTGAGTGCCAAGGCGAGGAAAGGAGTCAGGGGCTTGATTGAAAGGGCCTTGGGCACCATGCTAAGAACTGCAGAAGCAGGGCAGCATCAGGTGTGTATTGAAGTCCCACCAGATATAGAATCCTACTGCAAGGGGGATTTTTTATTCATTTCTGTGCAATGGCTTAACTACTAAAACAAGCCAACTGGAAAAATGAAAAGGTACCCACTTTGTATGTCCCTGAATAAAATAAAAAGAGTTTCGTTCCTTTCTCCTTTGAGTGAGGGGATGGATGGGGATGGGCACAAAGATCCACAGCCAGGGGAGGCATGCAGTCAGGAGAACTTGAAGGCCATCCTGTGGGCCTCCTGTGGGCCTCCTGTGGGCTATCTTGTGGACCTCCTATGGGTCTCCTGTGGGCCATCCTGTGGGCAGAGATAGGAAGTAGGGCAAACACTGTCACAAAGACGTTATCTGGCTGGCCCACCTTGAAGGTCACTTGTCTATGCATTCCTTGGCTGGGCTTCACTTTGCTCTGTGACTCTAAAACTGGCATAAGCACTGGAGATAACAGGGGTTCAGCATTGGCTTATGACTGAATTGTCTGAATGAGCTGAGACTGGTTTCTAAAAGATAACCACGGCAAGGATAGAGGGTACAAATATCTTGCAAAAGCCAGTGATGTTCAGATCCTGGACCTGGATGGTGGCTGGGGGAGTGGACAAAGGGCAGCAGCTTTAAGAATTATTCTGATAGTTCTTAAAGGGACACTGATTGCTTGTGAGGACTGAAGGATAAAAAATGGGTCAAGAATGACTCTAAGACTTCTGATCCAGGCAATTGGACTTTAAGCAGAAGAGCATGATTTTGAGAAAGAATAATGAATTTGGTTTAGATCACATGAAGAGTTAGAGAAGAGTTTTATACCCCTATAATCAAGAGAATTCATATTTATTATAAAAGTAAATGTATCAAAGAACACTTAGAAATGCAATTAAATTTGTTTTTTGAAATAATGTAAACTGTGCATAATACAGATTGTTTTCTGTAGGTGTTGCATGTTTTTTCTGGCAATAGATGAGAGAGAGAGAGAGAGAGAGAGAGAGAGAGAGAGAATGATTAATAGATGATAGATGATAGATAATTACTAGATAGATAGATGATAGATGGATAGATAGATGATAGATAGATAGATAAGAGAGAGAGATACTTGATAGACAGAAAAAACACAATATTAGAATAATGTAGAGTAATAAATTTTATTACTGGGAGTCTTCCTAGATTAGCAAACCCAACCCCATTAATAGATGAGGAAACTAAGAATCAGAGAGGCTGGTATTCTCCACTCTACAAATCTTTAGGGCACTGACCATGTGCCAGGCTCTTACTCGGTGCTGGACATATAAAGTAAACAGAACACAGTACCCATATGCAAGGAGCTCATAGCCCAGCTAGTGTGTGATAGTGTCCAGTAAGCAGGAAATTACACAGCCGAAAGAAGTATTTTGAGAACAGCATGCTGAAGCTGCAAGGTGCACCCGATTCAAGCTTGAGAGCAGCATTCCAAAGGTCATATGTGAGCTGACCTGGGAAGAATGAGCAGAAGTCAGATAAACATAGTGGTTGTAAAATAGTGCCCCAGGAAGACCAAGGTGAGGAAAAGCATAGTGCATGTAGTTAATTAAAGGAGTTTGAATACAAGGGAATTCTAGTTCTGGATTTTAGAGACAATAGTCTTCTGATTCCTAGTTCAGTGCTATTTTTAGAACACTACTTGTCTCTGTAGGTCTCCTAACAAGTATGTGATGATTCAGCACAAATATCAATACTCTTACATAGAAAAAAGGAAGCACACATATAATGGCACATGCTTGCTTACCCAGAGAAAATGAAAACTTTCAAACTCTCTTGTTTAAAATGTCTCTTTAGTGGAATAATTACTTTGTATTATAGCCTTTCATTTCCTCCAAAAATGTTTACATCAATAGGTTCATGCTATAAAGCTCTTAAGTCTGGAAGGAATTTCAAGGGATCACTTTGTCAGTCAGTAATGAAGGAAGCATGGGGGCATGGTGCAGAGGGAGCAGTGTCACCACCCCGGTGTAGGCAATCAAAGGATCATAATCTGTAGAGAACTTAAAAATTAATAGTTAAACTGACCAAAATTGTTCTACTTTTCACTGTTACTATATGCAATCTGACAGTTTTCAGTAATATCAGTAATAAAACATTCCTCTCTGCCAAGGCAAACTGCTCCCACTGACCCTCAGTAAGTAAACCACTGCACTTCGTATATACCGGCACATGCAGGAAGCACAGCACCCATATAGGCTACACGAAGTCCCCATGTTCATCTCTTCAGTTCATATTACCACATAGCTTGAGGAGTAAAGATCATGTGTATGAAAAACCCCCATCAATGTTTATCTTCCTAAAATTATGATATATCTCCAAAGAAGATTCTTATCTCTCAAATCTCAAATCCTTTTTGAGTGAAGGCCCCCGGCATCTGACGTTCTATGCTGTCACTTCTGCATTCACAGGCTTACCAGGCGCAGTCCTTGCTCATCCTCTCCAACTGGGCTGTCTGGCACGTGCTTGGGGGAATAAACACCGAGGGGTCTTTAATGCCCAGTTGTATGTCGAAAAACCGTGTGGACAATAACACACTATAATTTTTGGTGAAGGTTTCCTGGACAGGATAGCAATCTTTGATTGTATAAATGCCAATCCAGGTTTCATCTATAAGAGTAAAGGAAGTTGACTTTTTAATATAGAAAAAAGGCAAAATGCCTTTTTTTTTTATTGTGGTAAAATATACATAGTTTACCATTTTAACTATTTTTAAGTACAGTTCAGTGGCATTAAGTACATTGACATCATTGTTGTGTAACCATCACTACCACCCTCTCCAGAACTTGTTCATATTCCCCAATTGAAACTCTATGCCCATTAAACACTAACTCCCCATTCCCCTCCCCCAGTCCCTGGCAACCACCACCTTACTTTCTGTCTCTATGAACTTGATTACTCTAGGTACCTCATATCAGTAGAATTAAACAGTATTTGTCCTTTAGTGACTGGTTTATTTCACTCAGCATAATGTCCTCAAAGTTCATCCATGCTGTAGTATGTGTCAGAATTTCCTTCCTTTATAAGGCTAAATAATATTCCACTGTATGAATATACCACATTTTGTTTATCCATTCATCTGCTGATGGGCACTTGGGTTGTTTCTACCTTCTGATGATTTTGAATAATTCTGCTATAAACATGGATGTTCAACTCTCTGATCCCTTGCTTTCAATTCTTTTAGGTATATACCGAGAAGTGCAATTGCTGAGTCATATGGTAATTCCATACTTAATTTTTTTCGGGTGAGCTGCCATACTGTTTCCTACAGTATATAAACCTGTTTTTGACAGTCTTGGGGTAGGTGTGTTGGCAGTAGAACAGAGAAGAGCCTCACATCTATGTATAAAAGCAAACACTCAAAATAATGGAAGTAAATCTGGTGACTGAAACTTTAGAAAGTAATGTGGGGGAAGGAAAAGGAAGCCCCCAATTCTAATGTGTGCCTTAGACGAATACCTTCCCTGTCACTGGTCTCTGAGGGGGATGAGAGATCATTAAGTGACAGAATCAAGGCTAGGTTTATAAGAGCTAATGTGGCAGAAAGGTACCAGTAGTTCTAGAAGGCTGAGGTGTATCAAATATGATGCTTAGATCCTAGTGCTACACAACTAGCTGAGTACACATGGGGATGTCAGCAGGGCAGGGGGTGGGGCTTTAAACAATTCAATTAAGCTTATAAATTTCCCTAACAGCTATTTTCCTTAATGGACTTAAATATTTTTTCCCATCATGCTTCCTGAGATGCAGCCCTCCCATACTTTTTTGAACCCTTACATGATCTTGCTGACTTTCTGTCAGACCACTCCTGGACAGTAATCTGCTCCTGTGGCCCGCCTATGGAGTACTGGTCCTCAAAGGTAGAGTTCTGGGGAATGTCAAGAGGGTCCCAGGGGTCCGTCAGGATGATCTTGGAGCACTGTTTGGTGGCTTGTTCAATCTGAAACATCACTCCATCTTTATAGAGCAAAATATATTCAAACAATCTGAAAGACAGATTAAAAGAGAATAGTTCAGGACTTTAAGTTACTATTATCATGGCTTTACCAGTACAAAAGCCAAAAGCCTTTGATATAAATTACTCTTAAAAATACAAAACAAATAGTTTTGCTTGTAGGCAATCTTTTCCTTATTTACTTATTTATAAACACTAGATATACAAACAACCCAAATAAGAACTAATCAAAGCTCAGAGCTCAAAACTGAATATTCACTGGACAATTACTTATCTAGTACCATATGCCAGACTCTGTCCTTAGGATACAAACATGAGAAAGACCTGGTCCTGGGTTAACAGGTGGCTTGTAATCTATCTTTTAGATAGAGGGACGCAGGAGGATTTGACTCTTGGCTTGGATGAGTTCTCTTTGCTGCACTAAGTCAAGGAATTACAGGGATGTGTATACTGAATGTAGGACAAGAACTCATTGAGGATGGATCAGACACCTGTGCCTCATTGTCTTAACTTTCAATCATGAGGGCTTTGATGAGGAGGTACAGCTGTGCTGAGAATGGGAACCCCTCACATACTGGAAGGAGGCTGAGACAAGCCAGGGCAAAAGTTGAAGGGATCCCAGAGTGACTGGCTTCCCATGCAGTTTGTCTACATGCTCTCTGCCTCATTTCTTGTGCCCTTGTGCACACCCTATTCCTAGGCTGTGCTGAGAGTCAGCAGACCTCTCCATGATCACCTTGCATACTGTGTTGTCAATAGTCCTCTGTCATTCTTGAAGCTAAGAAATTTTGGTGTTGAGTGAAGACACTGAATTTCTATGTGTTTGATTGTCCACCCAAAACTTAGGCCATGCTGCTGGTTGAGCAAAGTAAGGTTGCAGCCTTGACCTCAAAAAGTGAAATATGCAACACCTAAGGGTGGAAGAGCTTAGAGAAGTGGCTTTTAATGAGCAACTAAAGATAGCCAACGCAAACTATCGGTGGTATATAAATCTCTACTCCACAGCACCCATGAGGGATGCCTGTTGTCCATCCCAAGTCTGAGCTTAGAAATTACATCCTTTGGGAAAAAGTATCATAAATGATCACTGTCTATATAGTCAAAACAGTATTACTGTTGGCATTATGCTTCCATTTTCTATGAGCTGGTACAAAAGTATATACATGGCCACATTTTATACATTTAGATATATCTAGCCTGATATTCCAGAAAATATATGAAATGGCTTATAAGGCTAAACCCAAACACAGACATTTAGAAGTAAGAATGTATGTAGACAGAAATGTAAGTGTTCCTTTTATTTCATATTGCTCAAAAATGGAGCCAGCCTCTTAAATATACATGTAAGATTCACATCAAACCCTTTGGAGGAATTTAGGGTCAGATTGTCACTGTTTTCTCATCAAGTCCCTGGCACATCAGAGTCTAAACATTCATGGAAGGAATATAAAAGCAGCAGCAGTTTCAGAGCGTAGTCCATTCATAAATATGGGAATTTTTGTGCGTACACAAATCCAGTCCCACAGACCCACCCACCTCCCTCAAAACACTTGTACTGTTTGCCTGCGAGGGTGGTCAGTATTCTCCTCACCATCAGCATCATCCTCTTGCACTTTCCCAAGTTTAAGGTGTTTAGCCTAGCGGGTCATTCCTAGTTTTTGCTGAAACTCCAGTTGTGTGCTTCCCAAATTGCCATGATTGTCTTCTGGAAGATATACAGGCATGTTCCTTCTTGAGAACAGCCCTCAGCCCCTGAATCCACAAGAGGACAGAGGTGAGGTCTTGGCAGCCACATGTGCACACATGGCTTGGTCATACTCAGCAGAGTTGGCCAGGCCAGAGATGGATGCCTGACACAGGGCAGGACAAATAGCTTCTTTCCCTGAGATATGTGGAATTGTGAAAAAAGTTCTGCCAGTCAATCTCTTTGTGTTTCTGGATATGTCATAAATAAACACAGAAGCTGTGGGAGGCTAGTTTCCAACATGTGAATTGAGTAAGAGCAAAGAATATAGCAGAGAGAAGCAGGAGCAGCCTGGGATTCAAACAGCTGTTCAGTTCCTGGATACATTTCTTTTCTGAGGCCCAGTGCCTGAAGATCCCCCTGCAAAGTTGTTAAGTTTCCTTTGTTCTAATAAACTTCCCTTTTTCTGCTTAGAACTTTTTGCGTGACTCATAACCAGGGCTTGTTTCTAATATAGTTGAAGACCCCACTGTTCCATCTAGAGCTAGGTAATAGCTGCCAGCACAGCTGTTCTGGGAGAGGCACAGCATAGCCTACTTCAGAACCAAGTGCCAACAACACTTGGTCAGTCGCCTGCCAGGGATGGGCAGGGACAGCAGGAGAGGAACTCTGCCAATTTCATTGTTTTCCTGAGGCTAGCTCTGCCTATACGACTAAGTACAATTTAATTTTAAAATGAGAATTCCAGGCTTGCAACAATCATTAAAAAATGTTAACATTTGTTCATTCTGGGTGGTCTGAACACATGTGTTTGTTCTGGTGTTTTCTGTTCTTTTCTGTTTCAAAATATATTTTTAATTGAGGGCATAGTCTGATATTGCACTATGCTGACAACGCTTTAAGCAAAACAGAAAATATTAATTTAATGAAAAACAAAATAGAACTGTAATAATTCATTTTTCAAAATACCATGTGGATTAAATGTAAATACTGCTTTGTTTGAACTTTTGGAAAAGATTTTCATGATGCTCTAGCAGCTTGTATGTTTACATGAACATATGCATAGTTAAGATGTAAGGTTCTTTATTGAAAATAGGATATAAGGCATGGAGCCCGACAGAGCCAGAAGGTTAAAACTCAGAGGGCAGCCAGGGTTCAAATGAGTCATTGGCTTGAGATGCTGTGTGGGTAATAACTGTAGACCCAAAGGACTGACCAAATTCAACAGAAACTGGATCCTGGGAGGTGAGATCAAAGCCTGGCATTGAAGTGAAGGAAGTTGTCACAAACTGTGCCCGTGGGATGCGGTCAAGCAAGATAAGGTGCTAGAATAAATGTCTAGGACAAGTCAGGCAGGCCAGCCCTCGGTCAACGACAGAGTGCAAATTCCTTGCTGACCAGACACCAAGCAAAGCACATTCCAGGGGAGATCTCACACCAGGCCTCAGCTGTGAGTAAGGTCAGGCTCTCCAGGTCTGGCCAAGGATCCGTGGCAACCTCAGTGCACAGAAGATGCCCAGAGCTCCACTTTTCCTCTCACCTCTGGGACAATGAATTTTTATTGCTTTTGACAAAATTCTCAGGCTGCGTTGACAATTTCTATTATTTCCTAAAAATCTATTTTCTTAAAAGTTAGGCTCTACCATTTCCATGTTTTCCAAAAGAATGAAAACCTGTGGAAGTTCTATTTATTTTGAAAGTAGGTTTCTGGTTTTTGTAAAACTGATTCATGTCTGATATAGAAAATTCATACAATACAGAAATGGAAAAAAGGAATAAAAATTATTCAGAAATTCTTAACTGATAGAAATAACTGTGCATGTGTGTCTAAAGGTATGTTGATTTTTTAATTTAAATTTTTAGTTTTAATTGTGGTAAAATACATATAGCACAAAATTGACCATCTTAACCATTTTTAAGTGTACAGTTCAGTAGTGCTAAGTACATTCACATTGTTGTGAGACTGACCAATCTCCAGAACTCTTTATTTTGCAAAATTGAAATTCTATATCCATTAAACAACTCCCCATTCCCCCATCCCCCAGCTCCGGGCAACTACCATTCTACTTTCTATCTCTATGTATTTGATCACCCTAAATATCTCATATAAGTAGAATCATACAGTAGTTGTCCTTTTGTGATTGGCATATTGCACTTAGCATGATATCCTCAAGATTCATCCATGTTGTAGCACATCAGAATTTTCCTTCCTTTTTAAAGGTTAGGAATTTTCCTTTTTATGCATATATCACATTTTGTTTATCCATTCATCCATGGATTGACACTGGGTTATTTCTAACTTTTGGCTATTATGAATAATGCTTCTATGATTATGGGTGTGCAAATATCATATTGACTTATCAATCTGTGTATTATACACATTTTATGAAATTGAACATTATTTCTTTTCAAACCTGCATTTTAAAAATTTATTTACTTTTGAGTATACAGTACATTGGTTAGACATCTATATAGTTCATAAAATGATCTCTCCAGTTGCTTCCTCCCTCCCCTGACCCTCCACCTAGCCAACGTATTAATGCTAACTGCATTCTCTATGCCATGCTCCCCTTTCCCATGACCATCCATCAGCTACTAATTTGTACTTCTTTAACCCTCCTCCCCATTCTCTCAACTCCCCAACTCCCCTCCTCTCTGTCTATCACCAAATTGTCCACTATATTTGTGAGTCTGTTTTTGATTAGTTTGTTCTCTTTATTCCTTAGATTCCACATATAAGTGAAATCGCATAGTGTTTATCTTTCTCTGACTTTCCTTCTAGGTCCATCAAAGCAATATCTTTTTCCATCCCTTTCCTTTTAGTCTCTGTGTGTCTTTTAATCTGAAGTGAATCTCTTGTAGGCAGCATGTAGGGGTCTTATTTTCTTATCCATTCATCCACTCTATCTTTTAGTTGGAGCACTTAATTCTTTTCCATTTGAGTTACTTATTGATAGGAATGTTATTGTTACCATTCTTTATTCCTGTTTTTGATACATGCTTTTTCTTCTTCAAGAAGTCCCTCCAACGTTTCCTGTAATACTTGGTGGTGATAAATTCCTTTAGCCTATTTTTGCCCGAGAAGCTCTTTACCTGTGATTCAACTAAATGATAGCTTTACTGGATAAAATATTCTTAGTTGTAGATCCTGGTTCTTCATCCTGTTGAATATTTTTTGCCAAGCCCTTCTCTCCTGCATAGTTTTTTTGAGAAATCAGCTGCCAGTCTTATGGGTGTTCTCTTGTAGGTAATTATCTGCTTTTCTCATGCTGCTTTTAAGATTCTTTTCTTTATATTTAAACTTTGGCATTTTAATTACGATGTGTCTTGGTGTGGGCCTCTTTGGA